GAACCAATCAGTTGTTCCATATCCAGTTCTAACTGTTGCTTCCTGTCCCACATATAGGTTTCTCAGGAGATAGATAATGTAGTCAGGCACTCCCATTTCTTTAAGGACTTACTATAGTTTGCTGTGGTCCACACAGTCAAAGGCTTTTGCATAGTCAATGAAGCAGAAGCAGATGTTTTTCTGGAACTCTCTAACTTTCTCCATAATCCAGCGCATGTTAGCAATTTGGTCTCTAGTTCCTCTGCCCTTTCGAAATCCAGCTTGTACTTCTGGGAGTTCTCGGTCCACATACTGCTGAAGCCTACCTTGGAGGATTTTGAGAATAACCTTGCTAGCATGTGAAATGAGTGCAATTGTACGGTAGTTGGAGCATTCTTTGGCACTGCCCTTCTTTGGGATTGGGATGTAGACTGATATGGCCACTGTTGAGTTTTCCAAACTTGCTGACATATTGAATGTAGCACCTTTACAGCATCATCTTTTAAGATTTTAAATAGTTCAACTGGAATGCCATCACCTCCACTGGCCTTGTTGTTAGTCATGCTTTCTAAGGCCCCCTTGACCACTCTGCAGGATGTCTGGCTGAAGCTCAGCAACCACACTGTCTAGGTTGTCTGAGATATCCAAATCTTTCTGATATAATTCCTCTGTGTATTCTTGCCACCTCTTCTTGATGTCTTCTGCTTCTGTGAGGTCCCTCCCATTTTTGTTCTTTATCATATCCATCTTTGCACAAAATGTTCCTTTAATATCTCCAGGTTTGTTTTTGTTTTTTTTAACAGCTCTCTCGTTTGTCCCTTTCTATTCTTTTCCTCTATCTCTTAGCACTGTTCATTTAGGAAGGCCCTCTTGTCTCTCCTTGCTGTTGTTTGGAAGTCTGCATTCAATTTTCTGTAACTTTCCCTATCTCCCTTGCATTTTCTTTCTCTTCTTTTCTCTGCTATTTGTAAGGCCTTTTTGGACAGCCATTTTGCTTTCTTGCATTTCCTTTTCTTTGGGATGGTTTTTGTTGCTGTCTCCTGGACAATGTTACGAGCCACCATCCATAGTTCTTCAGGCACTGTCCACCAAATCTAGTTCCCTAAATCTGTACTTCACTTCCACTGTGTATTCATAAGGGATTTGGTTTAGATTATACCTGAGTGGCCCAGTGGTTTTTCCTACTTTCTTCAGTTTAAGCTTGAATTTTGCTATAAGAAGCTGATGATCAGAGCCACAATCAGCTCCAGGTCTTGTTTTTGCTGACTGTATTAAAAGTAGTTGCAAATCTCAGAAATAAGACCATCAGAGCTACAAAAAACACTGTTGTGATAGCATCCGTTTGTTTTTAATCCAGTTGACGGTTGTCTGGGTTAAAGATTAGTTGCCTTGGGTACTTTTTAGGAGAATGGTGAAGTAAAAACATTATACCTAGACAGACAGAAACAGCCATGCAAAATGTGTGTGTGCTTTTAATTTGTTTTCTTCTTAATGTTTCAGTGGGGGGAAAAGAACTTTGTTCCCAGTGTAATTTGTAAATCACTATAGTACATATAGAAGGCAGGAGGGCCTGGCGTGCTCTGGTCCATGGGGTCACGAAGAGTCAGACATGACTAAACAACAACAACAACATAATACATATATAATTTAAACTCCTTATACAGGGCATTTCTCTCTAAATTGTGGTGGCTGAATGTCCAGTAAATTTAGTTAAGTAAATTTAGTAAAATATGAATACTTGTACAACGAAGCACTGACTTAACAAAATGATTGTGATGATCTTGCATGTATTTTGTGTGTGCGTGTACATGCATGCATGCACACGTACACACATATGTTTGGGCCCCTTTTAAGCTCTGAATTTGTGTTTCTTTACCTTGAAGGTTCCACCCTCCCACATTTTTCCCTTTGAAGGAGTAGTTTCCAGTCTGTGCCTCAATTTGTTCTGCTTTAACTTTGCTTTGACTGTTTTCATTATTTGCAATGGGTGTTTCGTACTAAATCATAGATTAGTGCTTACAGTTTGTGAGTGGATGACTGAAGTAATTGATATAATTAGAAGGTGAAAGAACAAATGGGATACAGCTGGGGAAACTTTGGAATCAGGATGGTGTTCCTGTGAAACATCTGTTGTTTGATAGATCTCTAGGTCAGATCTGTGGTCTGTCATCCAAATATTAACAGAGATTACCAAGCCAGTCCTGAATTGTATGAGCCATTTTAATTTTATTCATTCATTTATTTTCTAACAATCAGGTTTGATCAGTGTACTGTACTACTACTTTTATTTTTATTTTATACGTTTGATAACATATTGGTCAAAATCCTATCAGTGTAGTAAATTGCACTAGAGTTGGGCCATTGAATCAATGGGGATTTGGTGAGTCAACTTCTCCATAAATTCTGTTGATTCAAATAGCATAAGAAGTTACAATTAGAGGAGCCCCATTTGAATCAATGAAATTTGCAGATCAGTTGACTCACTAAATCCTCATTGATTCGGTGGGCCTACTCCAGTGTAACTTACTGTGCTAAGCAACAGAATCTTAGCTATTATGTGTTTATGTGTGCAGGGACATTACGAATTGGCAACTCTTTTGTCATTTGTTTTGCCTCATTGTTAGAAAACCAAGTGCAACGTTTTATTGCAACTTTTTGACTAAAGCAAGGTGTGAAAAGCCTTTTTTTAGATGCCTCACCAAAAAGGAGAATGTGATCCTTTGAAGAAAAATGGATTGGGTGCAAAGCAGGAAATTCAAAGGAGTGTGCGATGAACTAAGCTCTTTTGATGGCATAATGTATAAATGTAAAATTGTCATTGATCTTACAGGTACCAGCTCAGTTCGCTTGCAGTTGTCCAAAATGATGAATGAAATGGGAAAGCTATCTTTTAGGTACTTGAGAAGGCTGTGGGTTTGGGGGGCGGCGGTGTAGAAGCCTTGAAGTATGCTTTTTGTACTGTGGAGTCCTGCTTGACTGAAGGTAGTCAGTCAGATGCTGTCCGATCAATGCCCAGCTTAAAGGTTAATAGCCATAAGTAGAGAAAATGTGGACCTTGAAGTTCCGCCATCCAAAGTACCAAGTAACCCGAACAGCAGCTGAAAAGTCACAGAGGTTACCTAGTTGTAATCTTTTCCACAATGGAGATAGGTCATTATATTTCTGTTTAAATTATTGCTAATAATTATTTATCAATTAACTAAACTATTTCTAAAACAATTATCAAGTTTCTAAATAATTGCTAGAGGTGTACAGATTTGTGTTTTTCATATGACAGATAATTCTGGGAGTTTTAATCTAGGAAAAACACACAAACCTACATATCTAATAGTTACTAAATTATTATTTGTCTGAACTTCTCAATTTGGTAGTAAATTTATTAATAATTAACTAACTTATAAAGTGATTACTAAATTACTGTGCTACTTAACCGAATTCATTGTTTCCAAACTTCATCAGATCTCTGTCCTCTTCTCTCACTTTTTTTTTTTGACAGAGCTCAAGATACCTCCCCTAAGTTTGTTTCCCTACATAGGTAGAAACAGGAATTTGATGTAGCATTTACTGGGGGAATTAGGGGTGTCCGTGCAACAGACTGGCTTCTATTTGCTCTGCTGTTCTGCTGCCCGTCCCATTAATATGAGCTGGGATGTAGACTTTTACACAGCTAGAATTATATTACATGTATCCTAAATTTTCTTGACTGTCTTACAAATGGAGATGAAAGGGGAAGACAAATCCTCAAAAAAAAACAAAAAACCAAACAGTTTTTTGAACACCAGTTGCTGGCTAGATAGCTCAGTGAATTGGGTACATGGCTGTGGAGGCAGAGGCTAGGAGCGCAGTTCCCTGCTGTGCATCCCAGGAGAGCCAGCTTGTGCGCTCTTAGGCAAACTGTACAGTCCCATCCGGTCCCCAGAACAAGGGAATGGGAAGCCACTTCTGAGCCCTCTCCACCTAGAAAACCTTGAAACATGTTGCCGTGAGGCAGAATTGACTTGATGGCATATGATGATGATGATGATTCTGTTAACCACTGCCTGGTTGAAAACTGTGGGAATGTGATTAGAGCAATAATTGAAGGGTTGTGCTACATAATGGGCAGTCAGCCCGAAGAATTTGTTACAGCCCTGTCAACGGCAGTCCCTTCTATAAACTAAAACAGAGTAAAAGATCTTAAATTTAGATGCTTAAAAAATCATCATTTGAACCCATACGAGCATTTATGTCACCATCTAACAGGATCAGGGCATCCAAGATGTTCTAAAATAAGAGCTCTTACGTAGTTTTCTAGGGATATCCAGTTTCCCTCAAGTTCTGCTTTTCTACAAGTTGGAGTTAAATATACGTTTATAATCAGTAAGTTCCTCTTACACTCTGTAAGGGCTACTACCATAGCCAGTTGTCTCAGGGGAGGTTTCACAATGGATTTCACCTTCAAGGCAGTTGATATAAAAATACTCAGCCCCCTCTTTCAATCTCCCCAATTCCTTCCCTGGTATTGCATTCACCTTAAAAGAGTTAAGCCCATCTAATACCACATCTGCATCAAACTCAAGTTTCTTGTATGAGAATAATGTCATATCTATGGCAAAAGAAGGGGATGTCAGGGGTATGAGTAATGAATACATCATGGCCAGCCTGCCTCATTCCATGATTGCAGTTCAATGGTGGCAGTAGATTTCTGGTTGTTTTCAGAATCACACTATCATGTTTGGTCTCCCATTGCTTTCCTGGTCTTTCATTCCATCTGACGTTGGGATTGTTTCATCACCAATGAAAGATAGTAGCTCAGTGAGAGTCACCAGGGGGCATCAATTTCAGATTTAATATTTGTAGATCCTTCCTGTCCAGACACAAAATCAGTGTTTGTACACAGATGCTTCCGTGTCTTTAAGGAGCCCTCATCTGAGGAGACACATTTGGATTTCCTTTGCCCAAGTGGTCTTTTGCTCTCATCCTGAAAGATTCTAGTGGGATATATGCTGAAGGTGGCTAGAAAGCCTCTCATTTTAAGTAGCATCAGCGGGATGTTAGATTGCCAGAATGCCAGTACTAGCCTCCATTTTTAGAAAGAATTTGGGAGTCTCTCATAGCTCTCAAATCAATCTTATGGGCTTCTGACCGAAGAAGAAGGCTTAAAGAGAGTATCGTTGCCTGTCTGTTTCTCCAGCCGCCTGTATTCACCGGCGTCTGTGCTATTTTTAGTGCAACTTTGTTTTTTTTCCCCCCCAACGCAACCTGCCCTCTGTGTTGCGCATGTCAGTAGTCCTTACAACTCAGCCTTGGATGACAAATATTTGCAGAGTTGGGGGTCCCTTTTTTCTGTTGGAGGGAGAGTTACCTCCTTTTTGCATGTAGACTCTGTGGATGCAACTGCTTCAATACCAGCTCCTTCTGACTTTCTCCTTAACAACTCTCCTAGGCATGTCTGTTTTACTGATTAGATTGTACAGCTGTTGGAAAATAGCTGCGACTGCCTCTGCTGTAAGAATCGATTTCCTATCATTTTAACTACATTTGCACTTAAGATTCCTGCTGTGCTCTCTGCAGTTGTGGGAGTGGGAGAGTTGGGAGTCTGCATTGGGCTCCAAGCTGGAGAAAAACACCTCCCCTCCTTTACTATCTGAAGGTCTCTCTTGCTCTTTGGGAGACTGCAGCAGAGGCGTTGGGAGAGTTCACTTCTTCCAGCGTTGGGAGAGTTCAAGATCTCCTTTTTCCGCAAAGAGAAAACAGTTGACTTATGTTTCCAGCATTTAACAGGTCATCAATACGGAGTCGTTTTGAAGATTTATGGTAGGTAGTGGGCAGGGAGTCAGCATTTGAATTATTCCTCATTCTTAGTTTTATTCATTGTTTGGGTCTTCTGGAAGCAGGCCCAGTATTTTATCACTCCTTATCTTTTAACTCCCTTCCCTTTTAAAATCCAAACTCTTCTTTTAGTAATTAGTGAAAATAGCGAACAATAAGGCTTTTTAAGAATAATAAAAGAAGTTTAAAAGATTAGAGATTGAAAAGGGAGTGGAACTGGGCACAAGTGCTATCCCTCCCTGGAACCGGAACCCCTAAAAGAAAGATCAAGATAAGATAATTACAGAAAGGCAGCATGAGGAAGGGTAGTTTTTTTCTCTCTGTGTGTATTTCTTCCTTCTCCTGGGTTGCTGTTGTTTTAACTTCTCCCTCTTTCCCATTCCCATTCTGTTAAGTAATCTAGCATTATACATAACAGGAGAATCACTTCTTTGTAATAGAAACTGGGGCTGTTTTCAGGACTTTTCCCCCCGAATAAATCATTTCCTTTGAATCTATAATGCATATGTGTGTTTTAAAGGTGTAGCCACTTTAGCTCCGCTGAAACGTTTATGCATCACTATATAAGGTTTTAACAAGGCTCACTGAGATTTAGTCATTTGTCAAAGGAAATGTGGCCTCTCCCTTACCACACCCTATGCTCAAGACTTATGGGGGGTGGGTGGGAATCTATGATTGTTCCAGCTTGGAATTTCAAATCTCTAATGACCCAAGCAGACACTGTTTTAAAGACACAGCTATGAACTGCAGCTCCCTGTGGCGATCTCCTCTGAAGCCCCTATTCCCTCAGGTCTTTACGAGGTTCTCGCTCTTCTTCTTTCTTCGTTGCCACCAGGTATTGCTGTCTCAATACCATTCAGTCAAGGAGACATGTGTGCTTTTAAAACTTAAATGATTTATTATATCAGGGAAGTTGACATATGATTAATAATCAATAAGCAAATCATAGGTAGCTAATCACTTGTACTTGCATCAGTTCTACTTTAACTTTAAACTCCTACTAACACTCTGTTCCATTCAGCGTTCTTATAGATCTCTAACTCACTCTAAGTTCACTTTTAAATTTCACACTGTCTCTCACTCACAGAATCTCCCTCATACTCCATACACCAGCCTTTATATCCAGCCCCCTCCGCCCTTGCCACCGCTTTCCGTCCACTCATTGGCTCCTTCTCCACTGCTCAGCTGTGATGGACAGGTGAGGGCAGGGCTGTTCACTACACTCCCCCCCAATCTCATTTTGCTTTAGAGTGAGTGCTGTGGATTAGCAGTATAGACAACACCCGGAGTCTCAACCCAAAGTACAGTGATTATTATGAAGAGTAGAGATCATGATCGTTCCTATTCAGTGCCGACCTCTAAATGTGTTACTGAAACAAAGATAGTCCAGCTATGACCCAGTTATCAGGTGTGTGACCTGGTGCCCATTTAGACTGTTGGCTGGCCCAGATTCAAAGCTTTCGTTTACACAAAAACGCCTCCAGCCCTCAAAGAATTGGAGGTAGAATATAAAATATGCAGTCACTGTTTTAGTCAATTATTTTGCAAGCCAATGACTAAAACAATCATAACTTGACTCATTCTCATTGATATATCAACTGATCGTGCTCTCAAGGATATATATTACAATTGTGGGAAGCTTAGTCTTCAGTGCTTTATAGAGAGCTGTTTGCGGATCTGCCTGTAAAGAAAAATAAATAGCATACAAAGACTCATTCCTGTCTGATGGGTAAGGGATGAGATGTAAGTAGACATGTGGAGCCCTAATCCAGATTGGTATTTTTCTAATTACAAAACGAAAGAGAGCTGCTTCTTGTATCAGTGGATGGTTTGTTTATTTTCTTCTTCTTTTTCAGTTCACTTGTTTCTTTCATTCAAAAAAGACAATTTTGCTATCACCCTTGGAATGGCTACAAAGAACATTTAGCTGCCTGTATTTCCCAGGCCTGCTCAGATTTAGCAACAGGTTCTTTCCTAGTCTTCATGGATGTTTCAGGGAAGTATCACACAGCTTATCCTGAGTTCAGCCTTACCATGCATGGAAGGTGCTGGTTTGTTGTTTCCGTCCAATTTCCCCCCAAAAAAATTGTCGATGGGAGGCAGGAGCTAGTACTTTTTCCCAGCTGTGGGACTGTTCTTGTTGGACTTACTCAAATAGCATACCAATCAGTCACTATGATCTCATTGCCTGCACCTACACAGAGAGGCTTCTGAGTCAGGTTTTAGCCAAGAGTATACAGCAGGACCTCTTTAGCTGTGGGATCATTATCCAGGGATTCACAGTCTGAAAGTACAAAAAGTATTAAAAGAAAAAAAAATCCACAAAAACTAATTTAACGTGTTATCAGAACTAACCACTAGAGGGAGGGAGAGACTGTGTTAGGAATACTGTACTTTTTGGTGAGGAATACACAGCATGTTATCTGGCTCCCTCTAGTGGCCAATTCTGGTAATGCATGTGAAAAAAAATCTGTTTCCCCCCCCACCCTTTTACCATGCTCTCTCTATCCCTCTCTCTCACCCCTACTGTAGTTTCAGTCAAAGCTCATTATAGTGCTATGCTATAATACTGTACTTTTTAGTGAAGAATACACAGCATGTTATGGCCAATTATGGTAATGCATGTGAAAAAAATCTGTCCCCCCCCCCACCCTTTTACCATGCTTTCTCTCTCCCTCTCCCTCTCTCCCTACTGTAGTTTCAGTCAAAGTTCATTATAGTGCTATGCTAAAGAAGTATAACCCCCCCACCCTTTTACCATGCTCTCTCTATCCCTCTCTCTCACCCCTACTGTAGTTTCAGTCAAAGCTCATTATAGTGCTATGCTAAAGAAGTATAACCAGAGATGGTTATTCGAGTCTTAATAGTGGTACTCAACCTTGACGCTAGGAGATACAACTAGTAGATAAATGGGCTTTATCACTGTTATCAGCAACTCTACAAAGCAAAACCATTTCACTCCATCTCTGGCCTTCGGCCTTTTGCCACCAGTGGATGTTCCAGCTCCCTCTGCTTTGGACGGACGAGCATATGTAAGATCCTCACTTTGCTAACCATAGCTATAAAAGAGGAACATTCAATGTGCTTGTCTCTACCTGTTTTATGTGGATTATATGTCCTTTCCTCTTTTGTGGCCTAATTGTGGTGCACCATCAATCACTAAGTTTAGTTTCAAGGTTAAAACTTCAGTGGGTTGTTAGGGTTAAAAGCAATGTTGTAAGTTCAGTTCTAAGCTACTCATGGTTAATGGGAGTTTTGCTGCTTGGATCAAGTCTAAAATGTGCATGTGCATTTAAGAGGACAGCTGTTTGAGTCTAGCTGTGTTTGTCTCCATAGCAGGCTGTCAAGTCTGAACTAAGAGCAGAGATCTAAACAGGGCCATCAGCTGGGAAACAGAGACAGTACGACTGGCCAGTGGTCAGGAGCCAAGTGTGAATCGGAAAAAAAGGACAACATAAGTGGCAGGTTTAGGGAAAAAGACAGGGGCCAAGAGGAGTATGCCATTGCTTATCAAGAGCTTATGCCTTTCTTCCTGTCCAAGAGGATCCATTTGAGTTAGTGAAGAACTGAATGGCTAAAAACTACTGTCTGCAATTCAGTATTTTATCACATGGGGGCAGCTGTGCACAGTTCCAACAGCTCCTGGTAATAAGGAGTAGGATTGGAGAAATCCCCCAGCAGTTTCCCCATCTCATGTTCTTTTTTTAATTACTATTCATACATGCAAAACATACAGAATGACAATAATAGGACCTAACAAAACAAACATAAATAAAGACAACAAAACGAATCATTCATGCTACGTATATGGATCAGAGATTTCGCCATCGTCTGGTCATCTAATATCATCAAAGGGCTCTTGTGAACACTAATTCACCAAGACTATTTCTTCCCTTACGTTCCTGTTTGTTTCTGGGCCCAAATGTATAACAGTTTCCAGTTTTCCTTTACAAAGTGTCTTGGTTGATCCCGTACTGCCTCTGAAAGCATATCTAGTTCTGCAATGTCCAGTCGCTTCTTTAATAGCTCCTCCATGGTTGGTACTTCTCCATTCTTCCATTTTAGGGCTCAGAGTAACCTGGCTGCTGTGTATATTTACAGTAGTGGACTATATTTAATTTTTTTTTATCAGTAATGTTCAAGGGCCTGAGCTTGACAGCTGAAATCCTGCCCTGGAAAAGCTGGTGCTCCTTCTTGCTGCCATTCTTTTTCCTTTTTAAAAACTTTCCTTTTAGAGAAATCTCACCTTTTAGAAATGTAGTTGAGGTTGTATATTAAAGCAGGTCATCTCTGTCTTTCATCATTTTCCTGGATGAGAGTAGTAATAAATTTTTTATTTTGTGCAGGGCTCACTCTAAATCTGGCACAGTCTGGTGTGGGCTCATGCATGCATCTCTCTCTCTCTCTTTTAAGGCACAACTACTACTAATTGACATTCAAATGAAATGATGGTTTGGGATTTTTGGCCATTCACCGTGCTTGTTTTTTTGCTTTACTTCTTGTACACTTGGTATGCCACATAAAAAGCCAAGCGTTTAAATTTAAATGTGAATACCTTTCAAAAAGGTAAGAGAGCACACAGCCTTTTTATGTTTCTCGGTTGCAAGGAAGGCAAGGGGAGTGTACAGAATCTGCTCATATTAGCAAAGAAAGAAAATGCTTTGACTGAGGTGAATGGAGGAGGGAAAGGACAAGCCTTTAATAAGATCAAGTCTGGTGCTTTTTTCTCTCTCTTTTAAACGACAACAACATGCAAATGTGTTTCTATTGCCTAGGTAACTATTATGGAACACCCAAGCCTCCCAGCCAACCCCTCAGTGGGAAAGTGAACAATACTGATGCTTTGCAAAACCTGCAGTCCGGCTCCAAGCAGTCCACCCCCAAACGAACCAAGTCTTACAATGATATGCAAAATGCTGGCATAGTGCATACAGAGAACGAAGAGGAGGAGGATGTTCCTGAAATGAACAGTAGCTTTACAGGTACCTATTTTCTTGGCCTATGGAAGGAATTGGGGAGATTAGGTGAACAGGTCAGTTGTTCTTCTAAAGAAGAATCTTGTATTCAAATGCTTAAAGTATTTATCTAAGCCACAATATAACCTGGATTCCAGAAGTTGACGTGTCTGCTTCTGTCTCATTAATAAGTCATTTAAAATTTATTTTTTCCCCTCATGGAAGCTCACAGGTACTGCAAAGGATTTCGTAGGTGACAGCTATGAATGAGGTTAAGTGGGAGAGAAGCCCAAACCAGAAGCCATTTATTTGATTTCACAGTTAAATGACTTATTAATGAGACAGGAGCAGACAAGTTAACTGGGAAAGGGTCTGAGAAGTTAACTTTTGAACTGCTGCTTTTCACAGAGCACATGGAATGAGGCGGAAGATGCTGACTTTGATCTTTTAACTTTTAGTTATCAGATAAGGCTATGATAGGATAATATCCAAAATTGCCATGTGGTCATTTGTTTGGTTTGCAGGAAAGTGGGAAGAATCTACTGTCATGTGAGCAGAGGTCTCCTCAAGCATGAGGCATTCCTCTGGTGTGTTGACCCCTGCAACAACTTGTTCGCCCCCCCCCACATTTTCCCAGATAATCCCTCAGCATTCCCAAGAGAAATCTGAGGGTAAACAGGAGTTATAGGAAGTAGAGGGAATCAACATCTCCCAAACTCACAGATGGAAGCAGTTACATCACTAGAAGGACCTCGATGAATTTCACCATCTGCTGCTTGTGTACGCATCCTTCATTCTTGAGAGACAATGCGACATGCTCTGAATAGGGGTCTTGGAACAGTGTCTAGTGTGGCTGAGAAGGCCAATTCAAGAGAGACAATCCCTTCCACACTGAAGACAAATACAATCTGTCCGCTATTTAGCTCCCTGGTTTTGCTGGTTTCAGGACTGCCTCTTTGCCTCGGCCTGCTGAAGAAATGTCTCTTCAAATTAGGAGAGGCCATGATGTACCGCCTGCCTCCAGGCTGAATGCCCAGATGTCAAGGTTTCCCATCTGTTGAGGTCCACTCCTAAGGCCTTCAGATCCCGCTTGCAGATATCCTTGTATCGCAGTTGTGGTCTCCCTCTGGGGTGCTTTCCCTGCACTAATTCTTCATACAGATCTTTTGGAATCCGACCGTCAGCCATTCTCACAAGATGCCCAAGCCAATGTAGACGTTGCTGTATCAGCTGTGGGGATGGGAGTGCATGTGGGGCGGGGGGGAGAGTTCAACCCGTGGTTGACAACCTCTGCTCCAGAATATAGTTCAGAGTAGTACTGCACCCAGTGTTCCATCTGCTGTGCTTGGTCCTGGATCATCACGCTTGTAGCAGTCTTCAAAGGAGCAGGTTTCTTCTGTATTGGACTTAAAGCCTGCTTGATACCATCATACATTCCCTTGATGCTACCTGTATCTACTGCTATCTGTATGTGAGAGCAAAGCTGAAGTCAATAATCATTAGAACATCTCCTGGCAGTTTGTTGGACTTTGCTACAAGCAACTCGAAGAACCTGCAAGTTGTACTCACTAAGATAGGATGTGTATGCTGCTAGAGCTCTCCTCTTTTCCTCGATGGCTGGCATTAACTCCTCTGAATGGACTTCAAACCAATCTGCCATCTTTTTGGTCTTCTTGCCAAATGTGGACAAGGTGATGTTACAAACAGCATTCTTGATATGTTCCCATCATCCAGGGCACCCCACAGTAGGTGGAACAATGGATCTCAACAGAGTATTTCTAACTGCAAAGCCAACACCCTATAGCCTGGTGTCATTCAATGGTTTTCCCCTGCCAGAAGAATGAGACATTTTTTTCTTTGACAAATCCCATGTCTGCCAATCTTGTCCCTTGCAAGGCAACAATGTCCATCTGCAGCCCACCCATGTCGATGACAGCTGTCTTGTGCACATCGTGTATATCCTGCAGGTTGTCAGAAAAGCCAGGGGTCATTGTCCGAACATTCCAGGTGCCGAACTTTAGAGCAGAAGTATTCTTATGATTGTTGCATGGTGTAGGGTTATCAATCTGCTTGTCGGCTTTCACCCTAAACCCCACACATCTCATGAGATTAACAGACTATGGAGAGGCAGCACCTTACTGGCTGGGGGCTGCCCAGCTTAAGGTGTGCTGTAGCTACCTAGTGAGGTGCAGTGACCTTTCCCACTGTCGGAAGTAGCCCCTGGCGTCATGTTCTACACCAGTTGAGCAGAGACTTATAACCTGTAACTGCTACTTCCCATGTTGTTTCGACACTATATGCAAAACTAGAGTGTCCTCTCAAGAGCATGAAGCCTTGGTAAAATAATATGGAGGATAGGCTGTTACCCAAGTAGAAAATCCCACCTCTCAATGTCACTGAAATAGTCCAGAAGAAAGGCGAGAGCCAATACAACTGGTTCTAGCAACATCACAGGAGTTGGCAGAATGACACGAACTGCCTCCGGGACTCTGGCTCTGGATTTTGCCTCGAGGTTTACTCCTGAAGCCTTTTCCATCAATGGATATAGCCACAAGGCAGTGGAGGTTTGAAATCGGAATTTTTCTTCTCCTAGATGGGCTGCCTTCTACCCATCATCTGCTGCTTGTAGCTGAATTATATTGAGGAGTAGTGGGCATTTTATTACTAAGTACAGTATCTGCATGCAGTGTTCTTTCCCTCCCTAACACAATCAGAGGAGGTGGGGCAGAGATTCTGCTTGTTAATGGGAATCTGCTGGAGGAGGCAGAGAAGGGAAGTCTATTCTTGTCGGAATGGAAGATTGTGCAATGGGGAGGGAAGAAGCATATGGCAGGTCAGTGAAGGCGCCAGCCAGGCATGGGAGAAGTGAACATGCGACACCTGTGCTTCCGCACTGATGACTTGGATGACACAGCATGACGTGCTTTATGCCCATCTCTATAGTTACTCTATAACTACGTAAATACAAATCCTTTTCTGAATTGAAGTTGACAGTTTGAATATAAATGATAGCGCAGAGAGAAATATTTGTGCATAACTTATACAGGCTGTGGCCAATATCGAAATCTTAATTATTTCTTAAAATTCACATCACAGTTAGTGTTCGAGTTATTAAATAAATATCTTCTCCAACTAGGCAGTGTAGCTGTTTGGTTGGTTTTCTGGGTGAAACTAACCTTTTAAACACAACAATTCTGAAGGATCTTCACCCATGTTTTTCACAAACCCTTACTAATATCAGAAGTACTTCTATTGGTAGACAAATTGCAGTTGTCTTATGAAATATCTCGAATCAGAAATGTACCGTTGACAATCTCTTTTATTTTTATGCATTTATCCGGGTGTTCCTTCTGCAGCAGACTCTGGTGAACAAGAAGAGCACAACACACACAGTATAAGAGAGACAGCTCTCCCATCTGTGCATAGCAGCATCACCATCATTCCCACCACGGAACCTTCTCAGAAGCTCCCTCAATACCTACCTCCTTGTGCAGAGGAAAACTTGGGCCCTCTGCCTGAAAACTGGGAGATGGCCTATACAGAGAATGGAGAAGTCTACTTCATAGAGTAAACATTTATTCATTCTTAATTTTATTGTATTGTCTTTTCTTGTGATGCTGCAAGTTTGTTCCTGTCTATTTTCTGAGCTCATGAAGCAACTGGAGGTGGGCTAAATTGTTAGAGGTCTTTTAAGGTCTATCTATTCTATTTTTCAATTGTACTTCTTGTACAAATACTGTCTTCCAAAGGGGCTCACTTCACTTTTAAAAAGAGAAGGAGAAAGAAAGAGATACAAACAGAAGCTTTTCAACTAAAACGACAGCAAGATTAACATGGAAATAAGAAGAAGAAAGACTCGATAATCTAGGAGCTAAATCCAGCCAACATTTGGTGAGCTACATATAACAACAACCAACCAAATAAAATACAGATATCTGGCAATCGAAACATTTCACTTGTGAATTAAACACACACTGGGAGAAGTCATCAGGAGGTTTGGGCTGAGGAGTCAGCAATATGCTGATGATACTCAGCTCTACCTCTCATTTTCCACCAATCCAGGTGAGGCGGTTTCTGTGCTGAACTCGTGTCTGGACCTGATAATGGACTGGATGAGGGTTAATAAATTGAAACTCAGTCCAGACAAGACGGAAGTGCTGTTAGTGGGTGCTTC